GTGCTATTAAAAAGGGTATACTAAACTTTGTAGCAGTAGTATTTGTAGTAGTAGTAGTTACATTAGTAGTTTTAGTAGTAGTGGTAATAGTAGTAGTAGTAATAGTAGCTGTAGTAGCAGTAGTAGCGTCAACAACGCCATCATCAATAGCGTTACTAAAGCTGGGGTTACACAACAATTTTCTTTTGCAAAAACTTAAAGATGATGGTGATAATGACCGAGGCGTATATAAGAATGATGATGGAGTTTTTGGTGATGACGTTGTAGTGGGTGATGATGATGATGATGATGATGAAAATGATGGTGATGGTGATGACAAGTTCGGTAAAAATGACGTCTGATAATTCGAAAGTAAATCCATCCAGCTAGAAGTAATTCGATTGCTCGAGCTACCGTTAACACCAGTATCGTTATAATAATCGGTATATATCGAGACATAACTCGGCGTGGTTGTTGCAAATTGCTTGGTATCGTTTGTACCGATATTGAATGCCGCCGTACAAAAGGGTACATCACTGCTTGGCTGGTCGTCAGTAGAGCATGAATAGATGGAGCACGAGACGAATGAAGCTCTAAACACAGTGGCCCCACAGTTGTACATAAAGGCTATACTGACCAAGCAGAGCCAGCTTAAGTAGAGGTTACCTAAATTTAGAAATAATGATTTTGAATAAACTTTTTTATAAATTTAAAATAGTCTAAAAACTAGAACGAACTATAAGATATTGAATATCACGTTGGAATGATATGATTGAAATGGTTTATTGTTAATTAAAAATGAAATTTTATAAATAAATGATTAAAATGTTCATTTTTAAAAATAAGAAATGAAGTGAAATAAATCCCGACTATTCGGATCGATAGTATCCGGGAATCGAATCTTCTTAACTTTTGCCGCAAAATTTATCGGAAGAGTTAAAATTTTTCTAAAGTAAATTTTTCTCCTAAATATCGAAGAATTGTCAGTACTCGATTGGTCGGTATGTTTCGTTTCGTCATCTTTAGAATCTGTTTTTTTGTCGGTATCCTTGGTAGCTGACGACACACCTGAGTTAAAATAATTTAATTAAAAAAAAAGAATATAACTTTAAAATTTAATTATGAATATAAAGTATGAATAATAATATAAAAATAATAAGAATAACAATAATAATAGATAAATAGAGAAAAAAGTTTATTATTTACCGGATTTGCTCGTAACAGATGACGGTGATTCGGGTCTAATTTGTTTGATTTTTTGCGTTCGGTGGGCTAATCTGGTCAGTAATTTTCGCATACGCGCCACCATTTTATCACTCAGTCTAATTTCGCGCGAATTCTTGTAGCCGTTGTTGTCGCCGCCGTTGCTGTTGTCGTCATTGTCGTCGTCGTTCATATCAAGCGAGTCGTTGTCACTGAATGAACCGATTGAGTTGCTGTCTTCGCTTTTTTTGTCTATGTCAATGGCGTTTATGTTGTTGTTGTGGTTTGTGTTTTTGTTGCTGAAATGTTTGTTGTTGTTGCTGTTGCTGTTGTCGTTGTTGTTGTTGTTATTGTTGTTGTTATTGTTGGAACAGCTACTGCTGCTGTTTGAAGTGAAGTTCGTGTCGTTGTGGTTGTGGTTTCTTGTGTTGTTGTTGTTTACGTCATCGTTGTTTATGGCAGTGACGTCATAAGTATTGTGGCTGCCGTCATTGTTGTTGCTAATGTTGTTGTTGTTGTTATTGTTGCTGTTGTTGTTGTTGTTGACGATGTAATTGATGTCATCGTCAACGATTTCGTCAATTGTGTTATGCACGTCACGAATCATTTTGAGCATGTTTGTTGTATGTTGGTCATCATCGTTGTGAGTTTTACCTTTATTAAGATGATCATTATCAATTCCTGATTTAATCACGTCACCATCATCTATCGCGACATCATCATTAGCAATTTCATTATCATTAATATTGGCAACATTCGGTTTAGTATCATCACTCTGCTCATTATTTGTAATGTCGTTTTTCGTAAAAGTATTTGTACTTGTGGCTGTAGAAGTAGCAGCAGCAGCAGTAGCAGTAGCAACAGCAGCAGCAGTGGTAGTAGCTGTTGTAATAGTATACAATTTAGTAGCAATTTTATTAGTATTATCAACTGGATTGTTTGTACTATCATCAAACGCAGTTATAATACATCCGTTATTAATATTATATTTTGAATTAGTACAAACACCATCTATACTATAAACATCAGATGTTGTATTAACATACGTATCAGTAGTAAAAGCATTAGCCATAGTATTCGCAATAGTATTAAATTTAATACCGCTACCATTGGTATCAATTGTGTTGGTATTGTGGTAGTGATTTGGTATGTTTTTTTCATCTAAAGACGCATGATGAAACAACGTCTCGTCTCTTTCGTTTCGTTTGTTGCCGTTTCTGCTTATCTTTACTGCATCCGATTCTGACTGAGTTCTATCCATTATTCATTTAGATAAAATATGATAGTATCATATACACGTGGATACATGAGATACATATGGATACATAAGATATAACGGTGTTTCAGTTGTTGAAGATGTAAGATCTAAGTAAAAAAAATGTGTGTGGTTTGTGTGTATGTGGTGCTTGTATGTATATGTTGGTTTGTAGGTATGTGTGTGTGTGTGCGTGTGTGTGTGTGCGTGTGTTTGATTTTATTAACAATATCGACTTGTTTGTTAATAATTAATTTGAAAATTTAAATTTTCAATAATAGTTTGTTGATTGACAAGTTAACTACGTTTCATGTAAAGTTCTGTCGATTTTGCCAATAATTAGAAACAATCGGATGATTCGCCTTTATGATCAAACGTTTTTAATTTATTCTTTTAATATTGACGTAATTAAAATGATATTAACAACAAATACAAAACTTATAATAATAATAATAATAATATTATTATTATTATTATTATTAAACAATAATTTTATTTTTAGTAATATTCAGTACAATCAGTATCCATATATATACGTTGATGACGCCAGGTAGGATGTATAGTATATAGGACCTCTTGGATGCTGAACAACATCAACGTGATATACTCATCCAGATGTAAAGACGCAATGACAAATGTGTGTATATATATATATACATGTATGCGTGTGCGTGAGAGAGATGAGAGAGAGAGAAAGAGAGAGAGAGAGAGAGAGAGAGAGAGAGAGAGAGAGAGAATTATAAAATATAATGACAATGACAAAAAAGACGAAAAAAATTTATGAGAACAGAAATCAGCAAAGAGACAATGTGAACAAATTATTGTAGAGAAAAGAGAAAGTAGAAATGAAGAGATAAGGAGGAGAGAAAAAGAGAGAGAGAGACAGAGAGAGAGAGAGGAGAGAGAGAGAGAGAGAGAGAGGAGAGAGAGAGAGAGAGAGAGAGAGAGAGAGAGAAAGCAATACATATATAACCGCAAACGCATAGAGACGTTGTACGTGTCGTTCCTATGCAAATGTTTAGTGGCCATGGAAACTGATTCTCTTTATACCTGCTTCTTATGATGCCGTTCAAGTAATTTTAAGCAGAGATGTCACTTGGATTGCAGAAAAAGAACGAACGAATGGATGAACGAACGAATGGATGAACGTACGAATTAACAAATGAATAAGTGAACGTATGAATCAATCTATGAATGAAAGAACGAGAGTGCGAATGAATGACTGAACAAATGAATGAACGAGAATAGACAGACAAATGCATAGATAAATGGATGAACTATTGAATTGTTCAATAGATATATAAATGATAACACTTTTACATTTATTCAGGAAGAAAATATCAAATTATATAAAATTATCTCCAGCTAACAAAACAAATTTTTCAAATATTTAGTATCAGCATTATTATTAATATCATCATCATGACCATTATTGATGTTTATCATTGTTATCACCATCATCTTCACCAATAACATCATCATATTATGTATGCAGATGGATGATGTTTATTCCATTATCATCATCATCATCATCGTTACATCACCACCATCATCATTGACGTCATTTTCGTTAGTGACGTCATAATTTATTATAAAAATTGTTTTGTCTACGGTACGTTCAAATTCTGGAATTACCCAATTTGAATCGCAAGCTATTTTTGTTTACGTTGGGAATTTTGTTTTCTCGATCGGAGGTTTGAAAATTCATTTAAAATCATTTATTTATTTAATATCGTTATTTTGTTATTTTATTTAAAAATTTATTCGGAATTTTAGTGCGTTGTTTTATAATAGAAAGTTTTATTTTACTCAAATTTTTGTCATACTGTTTTGCCTGTGTTTCAGTTTTGTAGTGCAATGGTCACTTTTTTGTGTTTTTTCTTTTAAAAAGTTCATTTAAAATTAAAAATTAATAATTTTTAAATTATCTAATTAAAATTTAATAATTATTAGGTGCTCTGGCCTGTTTGAGTTTTTATTTGAGTCCTTGAGAAGATCATGTTCTTGAAAATTAAGGTAGGATTGTTTGTAATTTTGTATGTATTGTATTTGTATAGTTATTTATAGTATATAATATAATATAAGACTAGACTACAAGTCACAGGAGGTAGTACTGTCTTTGATCTTTGAAAAGTAAAAATTTACAAAAATGTTCACTCACTGTAGTGTAGTAAAACTTATTCTTCTAATTATACTATAACACCTATAAATAGAACCTATAATTATTATATGGTATAGGACTATAGGTTCACATCAGAATTCATGATCATACAAACAAACAAACGTATGCATGTCTGTACACTGTATGTATGTACTTAGTACTAACATTTAGACATACACATTATATATTCTGATCATATTATATTATATTATATTATATTATATTATATTATATTATATTATATTATATGAACCTGTCTGTAGTTACACAGATCCATGTAGTTCATGTAAATACACTCTAGCAGTACTACCATTAATAAATTATTGTATATAATTAGTTCTAAGTAAGTATTCTTATATCTTACTTGCACATTGTCTATCTAGTTTACTCTTCTTTTGCTATTGTATTGTATAAATCATGCATACATGTATGTGAATACTATTGTAATGGCTGAATATTTTTAAAAGGTAATATTGTTTAGGAATTTAATTTGCTGGTTAAATGAATAGATGAAAGAATGTTAATGTTGGTGTAATGATAGTTAATGAATGAATGAATGAATGAATAATTGAATGAATGGATGAATGAATGAATGAATAAATGAATTAGAGAGAATAACAATAATATGTAAGCTCTCATTTGATTGTCAAAGCTTTATAATCAATTCTTAACCAGCTATATTCATCAGGCTTTTTATTCAAGGTGGTTGTACAGTACAATAAAATACATTATCTCTGGTACTGTATTATATGGTATTCTTAACTAATTTGCAAACCTGACTGAAAATAAACTATAAAATAATCATATTTTGTGTACAATTTTCTAGGCTTAACACTTTTCCAAGCCAACCAGCTGTACTAGACGAGACGATTCTAGACTTACTAGACAAGACGATTCTAGACTTACTAGACGAGACGATTTTAGACTTACTAGACGAGACGAATCACAGTGAAAAAGAAACAGAGAGGGAAAAAAAATCAGTAAAAAGTATTAGTCAAAATTTCCAAAATGGGAAGAAAAGTTGTCTTAGCGACCTGCTCACTGAACCAGTGGGCCATGGATTTTGACAACAACCTCAAAAACATTTTGAAAAGTTTGTCTATATTTTTTTAACTTTATCTTTCTGTTATTGTTTTATATATGTCTTATTAGGTCAGAACCTTATGAATATGTATGCGATCAATTATATTGATTTATTTTTATATAATCTTCTCTATAATAATATTCCATTTTTAAACTACTTTTTCAGGCATAGAATTGGCTAAAATGAAGGGTGCTAAATATAGATTGGGACCTGAGCTAGAGATAACGTTAGTCATTGTTAATTAATTAATTAATTAATTAATTAATTAATTGATTGTTATATAATTAATCACATATCAATTATGGATTAACTATAATCACAGTTTGCCTAACAGTAAACCTGCAACTACGTTGATAACATCTTCAATTATAACCAAGCTTCACATATCATTTCATTCCATTCAATTTGAATTTTTCATTTGATTTGGTTAGAATTGATTTTAGTAATTAGAAATATGTATATGTGTGTGCATGTTAATGTGTGTGTGTGCGTGTGTATGTGTGCGTGCGTGTGCGCGTGTACGTGCATCAATCACAAACACATAAAACTATTTCCAAAAAAGTGGCTATGGTTGCGGCGACCACTTCCTTGAAGGCGACACACTTCTACATTCATTCCAAGTGCTGGCCCAGCTCCTGGGATCACCCATCTGCACTGGTGTTATGTGTGATGTTGGCATGTTAGTAGTTGTGGCTATTAATTATTATTATTTTATTATTATAATTATTATTATAATTATTATTATTTATTTACTAGCTGATCTGGCGCCCTTCATAACTTCTTAGGAATTAGTTGCCATGCTCCTTCTAGTTGTATATTTTTTTTTTTTATTTTTTCTCCCCAACAGGCCTATAATGCATAAGAATGTCTCCTACAACTGCAGAGTCATCTTTCTGAACAAGTATAACTTCAACGATTGTCTTCGTAACTGACTGCCAATGAAATAACTATCCTTCAATTAATCCATAATCAATCCATTGATCCGTAATTAATTCAGTAATCACTAATTAGTCGACTAATCTTTTATAAATCCACTAATACATAATCAATTCACTAACTCATAGTCAATCCACTAATCCACAGTCAATCCACTAATCCCTTATCAATCCACTAATTCCCTAATTCTTAAAAATTGCTTAGAAAAATACTACTAATCCGGCCGAAAATGATGATGGCAGATGGCTACATATATCGAGAGAGTAGGTATTTCACGGCCTGGACTAAAGAAAAGACCGTCGAAGATTTCTATTTGCCTCGAATTATTCAACGTATAACTGGCCAGGTTTTGAATGAATGAATGGATGAATGAATGAATGAATGAATGAATGAATGAATGAATGACCAATTAAAAAAGAGAACAGTTCCATTTGGAGATGGCGTGATATCGACGCTGGATACGTGCATTGCAAGTGAGATTTGTGAAGAAATGTGGAACGCCGCTAGGTTTTTTATTCATCAATTTATTTGTTCACTCACTCACTCACTCTCTCATTTATTTGTTTGTTTGTTTGTTTGTTTGTTTGTTTGTTTGTTTGTTTGTTTGTTTGTTTGTTTGTTTGTTTGTTTGTTTGTTTGTTTGTTTGTTTGTTTGTTTGTTTGTTTGTTTGTTTGTTTGTTTGTTTGTTTGTTTGTTTGTTTGTTTGTTAGTTTGTTTGTTTGTTTGTTTGTTTGTTTGTTTGTTTGTTTGTTTGTTTGTTTGTTTGTTTGTTTGTTTGTTTGTTTGTTTGTTTGTTTGTTTGTTTGTTTGTTTGTTTGTTTGTTTGTTTGTTTGTTTGTTTGTTTGTTTGTTTGTTTGTTTGTTTGTTTGTTTGTTTGTTTGTTTGTTTGTTTGTTTGTTTGTTTGTTTGTTTGTTTGTTTATTTGTTTGTTTGTTCTTTTGTTCTTTTGTTCTTTTGTTCTTTCATTCAATCACTCACTCGTTCAGTCGATGATTCATTTAAATATTTTTAAACATTTAAACCTAGTCTCAACATTATTTTAACTTCAATACGAATGGAGTGGAGATTCATTCATTCATTCATTCATTAATTCACTCACTCATTCATTCATTCACTCACTCACTCACTCATTCATTCATTCACTCACTCAGCCGCAACATCCAGTTAGGTATGGACGGTGTGGAGATAATAACGAACGCAAGCGGAAGTCATCACGAACTGAGGAAGGCCTATGTCCGAGTTGACATCATCAAGTCGACCACCCTGAAGGTAGGCGACGTCATGACGACGACGACGACGACGACGAGGATGATGATGATGATGAAGGATGATGATGATTGTTATTATTATTATTTTGTTGTTTTTGTTGTTGTTATTATTATCATATTAGCCATTCTAAGATATCGTTAGCCAAATATCATTAATCCAATTATCAATATTCATCACCATCATCATCACAATCATCATCATCATTCTCATCACCACCTTCATCATCATCATCATCACTAGGCAGGGGGCATATACATGTTCTCCAATCAGTTCGGTTGTGATGGCGAGAGAGTTTATTACGATGGCTGTTCCACCATTGCCTGCAATGGTGATATATTAGCTCAAGGAAAGCAATTCATCATCGGCGATGTCGTGAGTGAATAAATGAATGAGTGAATGAATGAACGAATGAATGAACGAATGACCATATAAATTTTTGCAGGATGTTGTAACAGCGGTTGTTGATCTGGAAGATGTTAGACACTACAGGAATTCCCTAAGGAGCAGATGCATTTTGGTTAGTGTTGCACAAACACACGTAGACACACACACACACACACACACACACACACACACACACACACACACACACACTGCACCTTTGCATATATAAAATAGTATTGGCAACAATCATTTAAAATTTCTAAAAAAAAAGAAACATTATGATTCCTTGGATTAGGCAGCTGCAAGCTCGCCCTTTCCGCGAGTAAATGTGGACTTCGAACTGACATCTGGCGATCCTTACCTGGAATGTTCGCCAGTTTTGGAATGGAAGTACCATACACCTGAGGAGGAAATTAGGTAATGATGATGATCATGATGATGATGTCGATGATTATGATGATCCTAATGATTATACAAAAAGAGAGAAAGGGGGAGAGACGAGTTAGACAAATACACACACGCACACACACACACAACACACACGTACGCACACACAAACAGCTTAGGACCAGCATGTTGGTTGTGGGACTACCTGCGTAGAAGTGGTGCAAGCGGCTACTTCCTACCACTGAGTGGTGGTCTCGACAGTTCGAGTGTGGCCTGCATCGCCTACTCCATGTGCACGCTGCTCTGCCACACCGTCAACTCTCTTAAAAGTTTGTAGTCTTTTGTTGTATTTCTTAATGATGTTGGTTCTGGTTGGTTGCTCTGTTGTATTTATTGCATTTGTGCACATTTGAACACGCACCCACACACACATACATACACACATACATACATACATTTTTCAGCCAGTCTGTATTGAGAACTTTGGTCCAACCGATTTTCAGACTCAGAGTTTTCTGAATGAACTCTGTAGCAGGATTGTAGAAGTATCGGGTGACCCATTAGATAAGAGTTATGTAAAGCAATCTTTCTCTATTTTACTTCAAAAATATAATTCTTTCTGTGTTTTGGATGGAGCGTTAAAATACCTGTCTGTGCGAAGCGTTTAACATAAATTAAAGCTGAACCCGGATATGATTATTACTTCCTTATAGTTCTAATCAATTATGGGTTCATACATACATACACACACACAAAAACCCACAGACGCAGAAGCACTCAGTGATATTCGGCGAATAACTCGCGACCCGACTTACGAGCCGAAAAGCCCGCGAGAGTTATGCGGCAAACTGCTAACGACTTGCTACATGGCCACAAGTAACAGCTCCCAAGTTACCAGAGATCTTGCCAAGAAACTGGCTGATGAGATTGGAAGGTTTTTGAAGATGACGATGATGATGTTTGTTGTTGATGATGATGATGATAATGATGATAACAACAGCTACCACTACTGCTACAACAAACAGCTACCACCTGAATATAAACTTCGACGGCGCTGTCTCAAGCGTCATCAACATCTTCTCACTGACCTTCAACCTTATGCCAAAGTTCAAAGTTTACGGAGGGTCACACGTGGAAAATTTGGCCTTGCAAAATGTCCAGGCGCGATTGAGAATGGTACTCGCTTATTTATTCGCCCAACTTTCCCTTTGGGGCCGTGGTCAGTCAGGCGGTTTGTTGGTTCTGGGGTCCGCCAATGTTGATGAAAGGTTAAATCAATCAATCATTTATTCGTTCGTTCGTTCGTTCAATCGTTCATTCGTTCATTCATTCGGTCAGTCATTCATTCTTTTTTTGGTTCGATCGATCATTCATTCATTCATTCACCTAACATTGCAGTTTACGTGGTTACATGACGAAGTACGATTGCTCCAGTGCAGACATCAATCCCATCGGAGGCATCAGCAAGACGGATCTCAGGAAGTTGATCCTCTTCTCTATCGAACGATTTCAACTCCAATCGCTTAAAGAGTTAGTGGATTTGTTTATTCATTCATTTATTGGCTGATTTGCTCATTTACTCACTCACACTCATCCGTTCATTCTTTTATTTCTTCATTCATTCATTAATTCATTCACTGACTCAGCATCTACATGGCACCGCCTACTGCAGAATTGGAACCCCTCATTGAAGGAAAAGTCGCCCAGTTGGATGAAGTTTGTACTATGCATGCATGCATGCATTGCCCATTCATTCATTTTTTTATTTCATCCGGTAATTCATTCATTCATTCATTCGTTCATTCATTTCATCCATCCATTTTTCATTTGTATTATTGCCTGACCGGTTTATTGACAGATCAAGTTTTTCAATTTTGTCGTTGTTGTTCATTTCTGCAAAATTAAGTAGGCAGGCTAATAAGGTTTCAAATCATTCTCTCGTTATTATAACTATGAAAAGGTCGAACTCAAACCCAGATCTGGCCTCATAAGTATCAAATTTGACCTTGAAATAATTACCGCTGACCTTGACATAATTACCACTGACCTTGACATAATTAACACTGACCTTGACATAATTACCACTGACCTTGACATAATTAACACTGACCTTGACATAATTAACACTGACCTTGACATAATTAACACTGACCTTGACATAATTAACACTGACCTTGACATAATTAAAACTGACCTTGACATAATTAACACTGACCTTGACATCTCCAGGATGACATGGGCATGACCTACGATGAGTTATCCTTATACGGCAGACTTAGAAGCGTATACAGGTGTGGCCCGTTCAGTATGTACGCCAAGTTACTATCGCATTGGAAGGATAGGCATACACCGGAAGAGGTTTGGCTGATTAGTTGGTTGGTTGGCTAGTTGATTGATTGGTTGATTGATTGATTGATTGGTTGGTTGATTGATTGATTGATTGATTGATTGATTGATTGATTGATTGATTGATTGATTGATTGATTGATTGATTGATTGATTGATTGATTGATTGATTGATTGATTGATTGATTGATTGATTGATTGATTGATTGATTGATTGATTGATTGATTGATTGATTGATTGATTGATTGATTGATTGATTGATTGATTGGTTGAATGATTGCAGATAGCGAAAAAAGTGAAGTTCTTCTTCCAGTCTTATTCAGCCAACCGACACAAGATGACGACCCTGACACCAGCATATCATGCTGAATTATATAGTCCTGATGATAATAGGCTAGTGATGATGTTGAAGATGATGTTCTTGGTGATGACGATGCCGTTGATGATGATACTGTTTTGGTGTGTGGTAATGATGATGATAACAATATGATCTTTGATTAATTTTTTCCATTTTTGCTTTTTAAGATTTGACCATAGGCAGTTCTTATACAACACTCAGTGGCCTTGGCAATTTCGCTTCATAGACGAACAGGTTTTTTTTCTCTTATTTATTAATGATTCATTCTTTGTTCATTTATTCATTCGTACATTCATTCTTTCTTCTGTTTTTTTTTTATATTTTTGTGTAACTTTTTGTCGATTTACATGTAATTTTTTTAAGACATTTACATGTAACTTTATTTTATTACACAAAATCACACCTAATTATTTTGGTGTTATTATCTTGATTAATTTTAATTTATTCAGGTGAAATATGTTAGTTCAAAGAACTCTGCTCCAACTTCTGATGTGGATTAACCAAACCTATATATATATATATATATATATATATATATATATATATATATATATATATATATATATATATGTATGTATGTATGTATGTATTTACTTTACTGAATAATAAATAGCATCATGGATGTACATGGTACTGGGTAAACTTTCGCTATCTCAGTTTACTTTTCGTTCACGGGCGATATTTTTATGACCGAAATGTACGGTGGTAAAATTGAATTTAAAAATAATAAACAAACTTTGATTTGAATAAACGTGTTTTATTTTATAAAAATTATCATTTTTATTTATATTATCATTATTATTTTATTATAAAATTATCATTTTATTTATTTTTTGTGCGTCAAAAATAGCCATTGATGAAATGTGAGTGTTAGTCTAATTTTTATTTATCAATAAAACAATGATAGTGTTAATATTATAAAATGAACTGCTATTTTTCAAAAGCGAAACCGAGAATCAGTCACTAACTGTAACTTACTAAACTGAGTTAGCGAGTCACTAACTGGATAAAAAAAACAACAAAACAAAAATCGTTAACTAAATAATTCATTCTAATTAAACAAAATTTAAAATGCCGCCCCGACATCGTGGTCGAGGATCAGTAAATCGCTACTGGACTTGGAACCTTGAAAACAACCAACCCAACATTGATCAGCTACGCAATGCGCCAGATTCTGATCTTCCTCTGGTTCATCGACGACGGACAAGGCGACCTAACAGCTATCAGTATCCACAACAAACAGAAAGGGATAATAATAATAACCACCAGCAACGACATAGGGGTTTTAATAATCCCCAGCAACGACATAGGGGTTTTAATAATCCCCAGCAACATGATTATTTCACTAGAAGACACACTAACTCTAGCTCAAATAATCGCAACAATAATAATAATAATAATTATCATTATTATAACAATACTGTTGACCAAGACTCAGTAATATGGCTTAACGATCTACAACCAGAGCAATATGGTAGGGTGGTTAGTTTTTATTTGAAAATTAGAATGGAATTGTTATTATTTTGGGAACTAATACTTTTAACTATATTTTTATTATTATTTCATTGTATATTTATATTTTTGTTATTTATTTTTAATAAAATTCAGACAATGATGACGACGAAAGTTCGTTTTCAGATTTTAGCAGCAGTGATTATGTCTATAGCGATAGTGAAACAGATGATGACGTCACAGAAATCAATATAAACATTGATAATCATAATAATAACAATAACAACAATAATGCCTCGAATGATCACAACCCAAATAACATCAATAATAATAATAATAATGATGATGATGAAGATGATGTTATTGTTATGGATGTCAGTATTGGTGACAACAACAATGCCAACAGCAATGATATTGAGATGAATTCTCAAAGTACAACAACAACAACGATGATGATATCAACTACTGGTAACGTCAACACCAACGACACATCAAATCTTCTAACTATAGATCCCTCAACAAATAATGATAGCGAACAACAACAACAACAAATAGTTCCAGGTTCTCTTTCGGATTTTTATTTATTTATTTATTTCTTTTTACGTGACATTAATAAAAACTAAATCAATGGTATTTATTGATATTTAACATTATTTATAACATGAATTAAATTTACATTTGTTTTAATTGGTTAAAATAATATAAAATAAAATAGCTACATTGATGTTTTCATTGTTGTATTAATTACATAAACTTTAACATTTTGTTCACATTAATATTAATAATAATATTATTAATAATAATAATATTGCAATAACAAACAGCAGGCCAGGCAGATACATCGATGAATGATTTCAAAACGCCAGCAAAATTAAACAATAATAATAACAACATTAATAATAATAATAGCAATGATAAAAAGAAGAAATTTGAAGGGAGCAGTGAAAGAAAGAAGAGGAGTATACTGGATGACAGCATTGATGACAGCGATGTTTGTCTTTGTCGTTATTGTTGTTGTTATTATTGTTGTTGTTATTTTTATTATTATGAAATTTCTTAATGTCATTATTTTTCTGTTTTTTTTATATGCAGTTAAAAAATTTTTCAATGTAGTCTTGTCCGATCTGTTTTGAGCCGTGGACCAACAGTGGACTTCACAGGCTGGTTTCTCTTAAGTGCGGTCATCTCTTTGGTCAGAAGTTAGTTTTTTATTCCATTCATTTTATTAGCTGGTTGGTTAACTGATTGCTTTTTGTTTGCTTGGCTGGTTGATTCGTTCGTTTTTTCATTCATTCATTCATTTATTTTCTCATTCATTCATTCTATCATCCATTCATTCATTTATTCAGTAATTAATTTCATTTCTTCATTCATGATTTAAATCTCCCTCTTTGAAAACAGCTGTATAGAGAAATGGCTGCCCAGCAATGCGAAAGGCAAATGTCCTAACTGCAACTCGAAAGCTCACTCCAGAGACATCAGAGTCATATTCGCCAAGAGATTAAAGGTTTTTGCAACGATATAATTTATTCCAGCAGAAATTTACTAATTAATTATTTATTAATAATATTATATATTGTAATATTGTAATTGTTTGTTGGAGACAAATATTTCTAAATCAACTAACTATAACAGCTGAACTCTTTTAAATACACATTTGCACAAATATATACACACACACACGCACACACACACACACACACAATTTGCACACACACACACACACACAATTTAACACACCTTAAAGCCAACCAACTAAATGACAAAACTACTCCTTTCACTAATAGCACACTTTCATACTCAACTCTCATCTCCCATTCTACTCATATCTTCAACACACACAGATTAATTGATTGATTGATTGCTTTGTTAACCTCACATTTTATCCCTAATAGCGTCACACATATTAAACTCTATAAATATAATAATAAATATAATAATAAACTCTATAAATATAATTATATAATAATAAACGTAATATTAAACTCTATAAATATAATTATATAATAATAAACGTAATATTAAACTCTATAAATATAATTATATAATAATAAACGTAATATTAAACTCTATAAATATAATTATATAATAATAAACAACAAACAACAACACACGTTTAGACGACATTTTCCCCGAGATCGGGGGTTGCCGAGATTGGGGGTTGCTGATATATATAATAAATGTAATATTTAACTCTATAATTATATAAGTTAAATCGGCATTGAAGTTTTCGTTTTCCTAGGCCCTAGACACAAGTGAGAGGGATCGTCTGATCACTGAGTTGAATGAAGAGAGGAGGTCCAAGCAAGTTTTAGAACTGAACACGGCGCGTAGTAAGATGCAGATGCAGCATGCCCTTGACGAGTGCCAGAGGTTGAGAGAGGAGAATGAAAAGTTGAAGTAAGTTAGATGATAATTGGGGATTGATTGGCTGGGCTGGTTTGGTTGGTTATCTGTCTGGCTAACTGACTGACCGAGCTGGTTGTTTGATTGATTGTGTTTAACGTTTATTTGAAGATTATTTTATCATAATTCTAAATTTTAAAAAAACTCTTCTTCCCCTAAAAATGCAACAGAACCACAGTTCAAATGAACCAGGTTCAGATCATGATGATGATGTCGAACAAGTCATCATCGTCGTCATCTTCAATAGCCGGACAAACGTCATCATCATTAGTAGCATCGTCATCATCATCGTTGTCATCATCATCTCAGATGTTACATCATGCCAAATCTCAAAGTTGTTTCGTGTTTGAGAGATCTATAAAATGTGATGTAAGGTTGATTGAGGCTGCTCCATTACTCCATTATGTTTTGTACATCTTTCACTCTCTCTCTCTCTCTCTCTCTCTCTCTCTCTCTCTCTCTCTCTCTCTCTCTCTCTCTCTCTCTCTCTCTTTCTCTCTATTTATTCTATAATTTTATTTTTTTTCATTTTTCATCTTTACTCTTCTTATTATTTTTTTTCAGCCTGGCTCTTGCAGGGTGATGACTTATCACAGTCAGACGTCGACTCTCTTCATATCCCAGCAGAGTCCCAATCCTTTGTTTCCTGGGTTTGGGATTAAAAAGGTAGATTGAGTTGTTCGGTTTGGATTTTCGGTTGTTTGGTAGATTGAGTTGTTTCGGTTTTGGATCTTGATTGTTTGGTTTATTCATTCATTCGGGCACTCAGCCATTCATTTTTAATTCATTTATTCTTTCGTTCATTCTTCCATCCGGTCATTCATTCATGGTGAATGACCGGATTCATTCATTCATTCATTCAGATTAAGATTGATTTTTTTTGGTGATTTCATTTTTGTACACAAACATTCATTCACCATGTGCCTAGCTAAGAACATTAGATCTAAAGAGCCACGAATACGTACCGATCCACAACAAACTGATCAGAGATCTGGCATTCAGTAGCGACAGCAGCAGCAGCAACGAGTCCACCAGCAAAAATGAAGCCAGCGGCTGTGAAGCGAGCAGTGGCTGTGGAAACAGCCAGAAGTTTCTACTGCTCACTGCTTCGATGGATAAGAGTTTAAAGATTACAAATGTCCACAGTAATCAAGTCGTTCAAAGGTAGATTATGATGATGATGATGCGCTATTTTGATAATGATGATGGTGATGATTGTTCTTGAAAAATTCAATTTTCCTTCACAGCTATGAGTGCCTTAGTCCAGTTTGGTCGTGTTGCTGGCACGCAGAGAAGCCAAATTACTTTTTTGCCGGCCTGCAGAATGGCAACGTACTCATGTTCGATACGCGATTCAACAATCAATATGTCAGTACATCTTCTCTGTTTGCTATGTTGCTTCAATAGTTATCTTCGTAACAATCATAATAATAATTATTATTATTATTGTTATTATTATTATGTTTTTGTTTAAAGGTGTCCAGTTTAACATCCGCTGAAAACTCAAAGTCTGTTGTATCACTGCATTACCTGCCGAAATTATTCGGGAATCGATATAGGTTGATTGATTGATTGGTTGGTTTATTGGTTGGTTGTTTGATTGATTGATTGGTTGTTGATTGAATGGTTGGTTGATTAATTGATTGATTGATTGTTTGGTTGATTTGCTGGTTGATTGATCGGTGTTTCGTGTTTGATTTGTTGATTGGTTGATTGATTAAAACTGACTGACTGACTGATTAATTAAATAATTAACTTTGTTATAAGATAAAAGTAGTCTATAATAGCCAGAAACAAATTGCTGGCTATTTAACGTAATCTAAACCGCGTAAATAAATTATGAATTTATAATTTTTCTTACTATCAATATAATTGAAATTTTCATAATTTATTATAATTTATCATAATTTATTATAATTTATTATAATTATGCAGACCTGGCGGCCTGATAGCAGGCCAATTAGACAATAGTATATTCTTTGAATGTAGGGATACGACATTTACGCCATCTTACCTGCCATTTGAAGGTTTTATTAATTATTCATAGGTTTTATTAATTATTCATAGATTATTATTATTCATAGGTTATTATTATTATTATTATTATTATTATTATTATTATTAAGGTTTATTATCGAGCTTATCAGTAGAGAATGCAACTGGTCACGTGCTAGCTTCATTTAGGCCGAATTCTCAGTACCAATTCTGTCGTCATCAAGTACATTTGTTTTGTTTCTATCTATCTATCTATCTATCTATCTATCTATCTATCTATCTATCTATCTATCTATCTATCTATCTATCTATCTATCTATCTATCTATCTATCTATCTATCTATCTATCTATCTATCCATCCATCCATCCATCCATCCATCCATCTATCTATCTATCTATCTAAATATTTATTTCTCCCATTCTCTCTCTCTCACACATATTTTTCATTCTTTCACAGCTATACAGCCTCTCATTCAGTCCATCCACGACGACGGCAGCAACAGCAACAAGCAGTGACACCCAGCAGCAGCAGCTCTTCACGTCGACAGTGCACTGCAACAACATTCAGACATTTCATGGCAGTCCGTCGCAGAAGAGGTTGCTAAGGAGTCGTCTCATGCTACACCCTGATCATGGATTGGAGATGTTGCTCATCTGTGCCGGGAATGAGTCTAATAAATCGGTTTGTTTGTCTGTCTCTCTGTCTGTCTGTCTGTCTGTCTGTTTGTCTGTTTATTTGTTTGCTAGCGGTTTAGCTGGATGTTAGCTGTCTAGTGGTTAGCTAGCTGCCGCTGCTGGTTGTTTGCTGCTTGCTTGAGTGATTGAATGATTGATTGAATGGTTGATTGAATGAATGATTGATTAATTGATTGATTTTTGATATTCTGTTGTTTGCTGTTTTGACACTACCAGCCGAAAAGTGAATTAAGACTACATGGTAAACAAACAACGCAGGTTGAAATCTGGAACAGCAGCAACGGTCTGAAGCAGCAGAGCATTCCAGCAACCAGCGATGACGTCATCGACATTTGTCCCGTGACGGATGACATAAGCAACAAGCCCTACATGCTTGCCGTACTCAACGACAAAGAAGTCAACGTCTATAAATGGGGCTGAGGAAAATGATGACGACGACGACGATGATGATGATAATAATAATGACTATACTTTTTTTTGACTATGATTAAGTTGTTCTTTAAAGTAAATTATAATTATGGCAACTATTTCATCATTATAAATCTATCTGCTAACTGTACCAATGACAATTTGTGTACAAACAAGACTGTTTACATCGTGTGTGTTGTGTGTGTGTGTCTGTGTCTGTGTGTGTGTCTGTATGCGTATATTCCTATAGTTGCATGTATCTCGTAGCAATATATATATGTATATGGTTTCTACATAAAAATACGTCTTTTAATCGCGTCCATATGTCGTTATGTGTACTTCCAGTATGACTAACTGACACCCAACAAGTGAATGTAACACTCGACTGTCTCTTTGTATACTTATTTTGGATTCAATTAGTACTGCCTTTTATTATTTTTTTAGCGAGTTGTTTTTATTATTGTTGTTCCTGGATATCTACGTATAGTTTGGCAATCCTGCGTTACTATTACTATTATTATTATTATTGTTATTATTATTATTATTGAATTAGGTAGTATAGAAGTAAATCTTAACACACACACGTGTATGTGTGTGTCTTTTTATAGCTTTTTTAAAATAAAGATTTTATAAAAAAAATAATAAGATTGATAATAATTGATCTATTATAATAATAAGTAAATGTATAAACATACAAATTTGCGTACATACAAACATGCATACATACACATACATACATACACACACGTACATACAAACATATATACAGTACATACAAACATAAGCAAATTAGTAACGCTTTCACCCCGATATATGCACTAGCAGGCTAAAATTTGATAATTTTATCGGTAGCGTGTTTTTAATTAACTAGCAGGGTTTTGTAATAACAAATTTTATATGTGTATGTATATAAATACTCATAGTTTGTCTGAAAAAGACGTATTTATTTATTTTTATAATTATTTATGTTGATAGTGGTTTATTTTTGAAATGTTTCTTGAAAGTTCCGTAGTAAACTAGATGTAAATATTGAAAAGTTTTCAATTATCATGAGAAAATCGTGAACAAATTCGTGAAATTTAATTACTTAATTGTAAATAGATGATTCTGTAACTAAAAAATAAATTCCATTGTCGACAACTCGAAAAGTATCGACAATTTTAAGACCGAAACTAACGTAACATTAACAAAACTCTGCTTTCTAATCAGTATATCCGTCCACTATCCAAAATTGGTGATATAGCGCAAAGTCAGACGGACCAAATATGAACGCGAAAATAAAAAGCAAATCCCTTTCAACCTCATCAACTATAACGATTCCTGTAACGGTAACCTCAAAATCACCAACAAAAGCTTCAACAGCAGTGTCCAAACCAACAACAGCAGCAACAAAATCAGCAACATTAACACGGTCAGCTGTTAGAAACAGCATTCGGAGTAAGCGTTCGAGTAGACAAGACCCTCTGGACTGCCTCAGGCACTGTCTGCACCTCGATTCCAACGCCAAATCAAATAAAAGTAGGTCAAAAATTAATGGGGTGGGGTCAAGAGGTCAAATTCATTCGGTCGGAGATAGTTTAATGAATGGAACGTCGAAAGCAGGGAATTCTTCTGCGATGAATTGTGAGATGAGCAAGTACGATGCACTGGTCGGTCCGTTTGAGGTTAGCGAGTTTAGATCTGCTCTTGCTTGATGAATAATTTTATATTGAGTTGAGTGGATGGCAGTATTTCGCAAAAAAAATTAAATTTCAGAAGAAAGAATGGTTGTTTTAGTGAAAGAATATCCCGTTGGTTCATGCATTAATAATATTTCAGTAATGTTTGTTAATTCGTTAATTCGATAGCGGGCCAAAGAACGGAGAGCAGCCTCTGAAGCTAAACTAGCACACACGCTCAACTGGTTAGAACAGTTGTCGGCTAACAATGACGTCACTGGAAGTTGTCGCCTAAGCAACTGTCGCCGCAACAATCTAGCTAGAAGAACGACAACTAGAAGTAGCCTGCGAAGTAACTGTCGCGGCCACAAACGGTCTTTCATTCGTGGGGAGAAAGATTTAAAAAAATTGAACAAGGCGTGCGATTTGATTACGGTCGAGAATAAAAAAACAGATGACGGTGATGATTATGAAGACGACGACGATGATGATGGAGAGGGTGAAGACTTCTCCAAATCTTCCAACAACGACACTTACGATGAAGATGACCCCTGGGTTTCCCCGAGCTGCAACAACAACAACAACATTCCTTCCTCAGTTAATTGCAACAACAACAAAAGACCGACAACAGCGTACGTCCATAACATCAAATCAAACATCAACGAAAAAGCTTCACGTAAATATTTAGAAACTCTTGTTGCGAGACAAGAAATTGAGGCAGACTCACACCGCAATAAACATCTCAGCATGGTGGAAAACTACAAAATACGCAACCACCAGAGCAACAACAGTGCAACCAATAAAAACAAAACATCGACTGTAAATTTTGGCAAATTTGTTGAAAATGTTCAAAAAACAACCGGCAACATGTTTCACAACAGCACCGCGACAAAATACGACGACAGCTCGTTGAGTAGCGTCGTTGAACACCTCCGCATAACATTCAACCTCGACCAGTGGGAGGATAATAAGAAACAAAACATAATACCGACCAAACCGACCAAAAAACCGATCAGGAAATTCGAATGTCGTAATGCCGATGCAAGTATGAAAGTTTGTTTCGGTAAACCGAGTCGGTTTTACGATTACGGCGAGGTTCTAATCGAAATCGTCATCGTTACCGTCGTCTACTCTGACGATTACAACGGTTGGCGTTTGATCAATAAACTAAATACTTTCATATGTAATCAAAACATAGTTACGAAATATTTCTTCAATAGTTTCAATACATTTAATTTATCAATAATTAGTAAACGAAATCTTTCATTACTAATTGTAATCGGCACATCACATTCATACGGCAGATCAGCCAGCAAACTTGGGTATAACCGTAGTAGGCCAGACGACGAAACTCTATGACAATTGCATCGAAACAACGACAACATTAGCAACAGTGTCGCCACAAATAACCTCAACAACAATACCAACAACAACAACTACTACGCCAACACTAACAAAAGATTCTGGAATTTACATAGGAGTAATTAAGCATGGGGGCAAAGCGGAGCAATACAACGTATTCAGCAAAGGTTATTGCAAAAAACCTTGTTTAAGTCGACTCATTAATGTTTATTGGCTTATCAATATTAATAAGTTTATGAATATTAATTGCCATACTGATTATTTAATTAAATTAATCTCAATAAATTATGTTAATTAATAGGCGACCGCCTGCTACAAGTCGACGAAGATGATTTGGAAACGCTTTCCAATGAAGAAGCTCTCGAAGTTTTCAGGAAAAAATTGGCTCATTTGAAAGACGAGGTGATGATGACGATGATGCTGGTGATGGTTATGACGATGTTGGTGATGGTTATGATGATGTTGGTGATGATTATGACGATGTTGGTGATGATTATGATGATGTTGGTGATGATTATGATGATGTTGGTGATGATTATGATGATGTTGGTGATGATTATGATGATGTTGGTGATGGTTATGATGATGTTATTTAAGATAATATAATGATAATATTGATGGTTTTATTGCTGGTAAAAATTGTGATTATTAGAATTTTGTTGTTGTTGTTGATGACGATGATGCGGCTGTCGTTATTGCTGCTGCTGCAGCTGTTGTAGCTGCTGCGACCACTGCTCCTGATAGTGGTAATAGTGATGATGATTATGATAACGATAACCATCATTATCGTTAATAATCTACCGCCAGAATTCTCCAAAAATGATCCGCATATTGCTGGGCCGCTATTATATCAACCAAAGTAAACAACATCAGATGCAGCTACTTGTGCAAGGCAGAGATTTCATCAACAACTACCTCAACAACAACAACAACAACAGTAACAACAATTACAATAATAATAACAATAATAATAATAACCATAATAATACTATTAGTAGTTCAAACTGCAACACGTATAGCACGAGTAATGGAAACAGCGCTGTTTTTAATTTAACTCTTAATAATTCCAAGCATGCAAAAACCCACAACAACAACGACAACAACAATAATAATAATAATAATAACAATAATAATAGCAGCAATAACATTAACTATCGCCATGTTAACTCATCCCGGTTCAGCAATTCCAGTTCGTCAACATATCGTAGCAAAGTTTACTATCCCAGTAACAACGTCAACAAAAACATCATCAACAACATAAACAATAACAACATAAATAACAACAAAACCCGGAAATACGCCACGGCAACCGGAAATAGTAGCAGCCATGTTGGTTCTAAAATTCCGGTTCACAGTAATGATGAACAGCATGATGTGCAAACATGTTCATGTTCTCTCTGTTCGTTCGTCCGCCGAGAAAACGAGGTCTCAATCAAAGATACTGATAATGATAAAGATGGTGATGATGATAATGATAATGATGATGATGAAATAAAAAACGGTGACGATGATAATGATGGTAGTAATAGCCTTTGTTTCAATGATAAACGACCACACTTAACAAGCACACTCAATCATACCAAGTCACGTGGTAATGATGATGATGATGCTTATAGAAATGACGACGGCGATGATGATGATAGTAATGGTGATGATGGTGGTGATGATGACAAAGAAAATAGAGACCGTCATTATCAAAATCCTCGGCGTATTCGTGATAGTCGTCAACTTCTGAGTTCTGCTGGATCGCCAGCGCGTTTCAATAATGAGATTAGTTTGGCCGATCAAAATTCATTCGATCACGATAACGATGATGATGATGGTGGTAGTAATGATGATAACGATGATGATGGTGGTGGTAATAATGATGATAACGATGATAATGATGGTGGTAACATTGATGATGAAGATGATGATGACGACAGCAAAAAATTTTACGTAAGCGATTTTGAAAATGACGTTAAGCTAGGTATCAACAACAACCATTGTGCCAGATACGTAAACAACAACCACAACAACAATTACAACAACAACAACAATAATAATAATAATTATAGTAATAATATTATAAATAATAATTATCATCGTCATCGTTATCACCCCACAAACCCCTTCGTAAAAAATAACATGCTATCTCCAGCGTACCATCACAATATTAAAAATAATTATAATAATAATAAAAATAATAATTATGGTGATGACGAAGATGATGACGATGATGATGACGATTTTTCCAGCCAGGAACTTAATCGTCGTCATCATGAGCTATACAAGGGCAGACGCTATTTGACGAATAGTAAAAATAATAATAATGGTGATAATAATAATAATAATTTACTTATCCCATATCGTCATTCCTTCATTCAACATCATCATCGTCATCATCATCCTGCATCTCATCAACAGCAGCCACACTATATCAATAATAATCATCATCATCTTTTTCATCATCATTGTCGTCGTCATCGCCAGTCGCATCGTCTGCCGCATCCATTCATTCAAGATGATGCCCATTCCTTCACTCATTCACTTGGTCATAACTCTAACGGTCATCATCATCGTCGTCGTTGTGGTCATCATCATCATCATCATCTCCTTCAACAACTGCAACAGAGTAAAATAAATTACGGAAATTACGTTATCGGTAATAATAATAATAATAGTAATAATAATAATAATAATAATAATTTACACATGAATTCCAACGCCAAAATACGCTACACGCATTACCAGCAGAGATTGGAAAACATAGAAAAAGAAATAAAGATGGCGGAACGGAAACACGTGACGCGAAAAAATATGGCGCTCTTTTTAAGAGAGCCCGGAAGTATGGAAGCCATCTTGAACCGCCAAAAACCTCCATTACGTCATTCTAATAAATTAAACAACAATAATAATAATAATAACATTAATAATAATAAAAATGATAAGAACAAAACAATCAGTAGTAGTAATAACAATGATGACATCACTGTTAGTGATGGCTGTAGCTACAACAACGACACCAACAATAGCAACAACATTAATAATAATAATAATAATAATAATATAATTAACGATGATGACGTAAGCATTGACATTGACGCCAACAACAACATCAGCATCAACAATTATATTAACAACAACAACATCAACAAAAACAACATCAACATCAACAAAAACATCAACAACAATCAGTCTATCGTCAAATATTCGTTGCAGCAACAACAAAAACCAAACAACAACAACGTAAGATTTCAGCAAAAAACAATTTCAACTATAATTACGCCATCATATTTCAACAAAATAAGCAACAATAGCAGCATCAACAACAACAACAGCAACAGCAACAAAATCAACAACAACGACGACAGCCACATATACAACACATCCATCAAACATACATCAGTTACCAACGACTCCGGATTCATCACTTCCATTTCCGGTGCCCTGACCACTTCTGTTTCCGGATCGAAAAATGAAAGTTTGTCGGCGGAAGTCGACTGCTTTTAAATTGAAACACCATCATCTAGCGCTTCATTTGATAAACTGACTAATTGATTAATTCATCAATCAAACGATAGCGTATCAAAATAAAGATAACATCTGTGACGTTGATTAAATTATGATCTGCTTTTAATTATTAATTTGTATTGTATTGTATTGTATTGTATTGTATTGTATTGTATTGTATTGTGTTTCATTGTATTGTATTTTATTGTATTTCATTGTATTGTATTGTAATGTGTCGTCTCGTCTCGTACCGTGTTGTACACATATATCTGCTTGAAATATATTCTTTTATTTCAAATTTGATTATGAAAATAAAGATTGTAAACTGTATTAATATTGTTGTTTATATTGAGATGTCGTTGTTTTGACGTGTTGTTGTTGGCCATGTTTATTTCGCTTTTGTTTTTGTTTATGTAGCTACTGGCTAATTTCCATTTACTATCATCACAATCATTTTGTTGTTGTAGTTGCTGCTGTTGAAGCGACGGCAACAACTGCAGCAGCAGCTGAAACGCCGACATTTCAGTTGATAAAGAAGAAATTGTCCGGCAGACAGATAGAGGTGACATACATACTTGAACCAAAAATGGAAAAAGAGAGAAAGAGAGAGAGAAAAGAAAGAACGAAAAAGATTGAAGAAAAATGATAGAGCTAAAAGGAGAAAGAGAGATACAAAAAGAGAGAGAGAAAAATGAAACAAAGAACAAGAGAGAGAATAAGAAGAGAGGAAAATAAAGAAAGAAAGAGAAGGACAGACAGTCACGCTAGAATTGTGATGACGTCATTTCCTGATTGGGAAATATTAATGGCGGCCTGGAGGTAGGTAGGTAGGTATGTTGGATGAGTTGGTTGGCTGATTTGTCGCTTGGTTGATTGGCTGATTGGTTTAACATCACCAACAACATCGTCGTCGTCGTCATCAACTAAAACAACAACAACGACATCATATTCATCGTCACCATCTTCGCCATCAACGTTGTCGTCGTCATCATCATTACAAAGAACATCTTCATAATGCTGTACAATCGCCTTATCTTCCCTTGCAGGCCTTATAAACGTAAAGCAATAATGACGTCATCTTCATCGTCATCATGGCCACCATCTTAATCACCATTAAATTGTTCATCATCATATTGCGGTTACCATGGAGACGATTATACGTCAACAAATCATCTTATACATACGTACATACATGCATACATACATACATACACACATACATACATACATACATACATACATACATACATACATACATACATACATACATACATACATACATACAAAAATTTGCATCTTCTGTTTTATAAGCATATTATGACGCGTAAAAATATTCGCATGTTTATTGGATTGCGAGAGTGCATGAAAGTAAGAAAGAATAAAGAAATGTATGAATGAATAAATGAATGAATGAATAATTCATTGAATGATTGAATTATGTAAAGAAAAAGTATTAAATGAAAGTGTGTGCGCGTGTGTGTGTGCGCGTGTGTGTTTCGAGTGTTTTTAACTATTTTGATTTCCCCGTAGCAATCTGCAACAGCCGGTATATAGAGAATTTAACATAAATAAGCAGGCGCTCTGTGGTTTTGGTAGTTGTTGCACAAACACACAACACACACAAACACACACACACACATATGCTTAAATGCATATAGATAAAAACAAAAACAAAACGTGCTATTTAACAAACAAATATAAAGAGATAAAGAGCCAAACACACAATCCTATCGATATGTAGAAAGCACTAAAGCATACAGAAACGAACACAGATCTATACAAACACATACACACAAACACATACACACATTTAATACAAACGCATACACACAAACACATGCACACATGTAATACAAACACATACACACAAACACATATCCACATGTAGATCGTGACATGAATTTAAAGGTCATAATTCCTATGAATGCATTTGCCACTGAGCAGTGAATATGATTTGCCCAAATATAACATACACGCCACAACTTTCTCGATGCACACACACACACACACACACACACACGTACACAGGCAATTCCGGCGGATATAACATTACCCCCATCTTATCAAAAGTACATAGCTTTGGTAGCAACCAATCAAAATGTGATAAAAATAATAACACACACACACTCTTTCTCTCCCTCTCTTTCTCTCTCTCTCTCTCTCACACACACATACACACACACACACACATACAACACAGACACACACATCCCTTAATCCATAAATACATTCACACATACATATAAAACTACACTACGTAATGAAACCATTGACATATAATATGAAGTGATACATATATACATACATATATACATATATATATATATATAATGATACAAATATATATGTATTTATATATATATATGTATATATTATATATATATATATTATTATATATATATATATATATATATATGTATATACACCCACAATATTTCATGGGATCTCATATAATGAACACTTGTGCTCTGAAATTTTACGTTTTGACACTTTTTCCTGTGATTTCCATTTCTCAAAATCATCTTTCGGTTATTAGTTTGAAGTAAAATTATTTTATTATTATTGATATTTTGTTGTGATCATTATATATATATATATATATATACAAATTATAAGCAAATTATTTTTATATTTTTTTTTGACACATTAATAATTTTTGGTAAATTTGTAACTGTTTAAAATAAATTTTTGTAAATATGTCGATGAACATATTAATTAATTTTTAAATTAATTGACTAAAACTAATTAAATTCAAATAAAACTTTTGTTATATATATCTATATATATATAGAAAGAGAGAGAAAGAGAGAAGGCGAGAGAGAGAGAGAGGGAGCAAAATGAGAGCAAAGATAATAAAGATTAAAATATGCTACAAGATTTGTTTCGCGTCCATCCTGACATCATTCTTCGCCGGGGTCGTCGTCTTACACGCAAAACTCACATTCCTAAACATCTGCAGCGTGCCAATCCAGACGCAGACGCAACGATCAGAATGCGATCCCGACAACTTCGGATCGCAACTCCCTCCAAGCCAGCACTCCCCTGATCTTTTCATCAACCAAGTGAAATCATTCCTAATGAAAGACGACTACAAACTGCGTTCGTTAAAACGAAAACAGGCAAAAAACCATCTTCGTATCAATTACAACGATGATCATCAAACCTCGCATACTGATAATTATACAAATGATTTCAGATTTTACGAAAAATATGAAAATGAATTTAAACCATTCGGCAAACATTTCATATTCAGCGCATACTTTGATGACAGAGTCGAGTCTATTAATAATGACCCTAGCCTTAAAATCAACATGTTTGCTAGTGCTGGACTCAATCACGTCGATGTGAATTCTAGGGAGGAGTTATTAGGATACGTTAGAGTGATTGCTCTGATGGAGGTCAAGCAGGCCATGCAGGCAGTTTATTGTCATTATAGTGACGAGCCAGTGTCAAACTTTGCCATCGGTGAGGTTTTTATTTATTTGTAATCGTTTAAAACGTAGTTTTTGAGCTAGTTATATTCACGTAATGTATTTACAGTTTGTTTTATCAGTTGTTTTCTCTGTTGAAATAAGACTTTTAAAAATTGAATTAACTGCAAAAATTACGTCTTAATTATAATAAAGAAATTTTAAATTACATATATTTATTTTTTATTTTTCAAAGATGACAAAGTCCTAAACGATCTAGCCAAATTAGTAGAAGGAGATATATACGAGATGTGTGAAAATCACAAAAAAGAGTTCGGTGGCTATATAATAACATGCCCTCTGCCAAACAATTTTAACCATACTACTATGAGCGCATCCTTCAAATTTGGTTACATACCTAAATACGTAACGCTTATCTACGGCACTGAGCGAGTTAGTGAGGTTAATGATAGTCAGAGTGAAAAAACACGAAGCAAAACAGTCATTCCGGAAGAAATAAGTGAAATTATTGTCGCTAAAACTCATAGAAACAGCTCTGGAGTTTATTTTATGAGTAAAAGTATTCAAAAAGTAATTCCGTCAAATGCTTCGAGCTCATTTACGAAGCACAAAACTGACAAAAAATTACTGAAAATGAGAAAAGTAACGAAACGACGCTACACTAAATCGTTTTACGTCGAATACGTCAGGATATCAAGCAGACGACGTCATCAAATGTTTTCGTCTGCCAAATACCACTTCGGTATCTGCGTCCCGCCAGTTCACAAGAAGACTCTAACAGCATCTAAATTGATCGATTTCATTGAGACTCATCTCTTGTTAGGAGTTGATCACTTCATTATGTACATCAAGCCAGACGTTGGTTCATTTGCTTGAAATACATATAAATCAATACACATTTTCACATTTACAATAATTTCATTTAGTAATTAATTATTACTAAATTACAGTTGCCAGATGAATTAAAAGACGCGTTAGATTATTATAAAGAGGTAGGCATTTGCACTCTCATACCGTGGAACCTACCACAAACTAATTTCAACATTTGGTCCAATGGTCAGTTGCTAGCCGCTAACGATTGTCTCTACAGATTCATGTATAAATTTGAGTACTTGGCATTTGTAGATATAGATGAGTTTATCATTCCAGTGGCGAGTGCAAGCTGGGATGACATGATTTCACGCTTGGAGAATAGCACGCATTGTACAACGAATGGCACTGCTGCTACTTCTCCCGCTATTAATATTAATAACAACACCGACGATTTGGGAGAATTTTTAGGATTAACGTTTTTGAGATCGAAATGCGTGGTGTTTTATTTAGCGAGTGCCTTCATACATCAGCTCGTCGACAGCAGCTTGCATGGCTACAACCTGGAATCCGACCTTAGAGTTAAAATTTTTAGTCGCGTCCGGACAAAAGTGATCGTCAGCCCGAAGTTTGTCCTCGAAATGGGTATTCATCACGTTAACAAAATAATACAGATCAAAAGAAAGTTAAACAACGAAACAATGGAATTGTATATTAACGACACGGCATACCAACACAAAAACGTCTCTCAAACAAAGACAAACGCCGTCAACTTACTAAAATCTTTTGAGATCTCAACAGACATCGCTTACATCCATCATTTCAGGCGATGTACTCGCACCTACGATCCGAATATCGAGTGTAACATCTTAAGGACCGATAAAACGTTTGCCCCGATTCTGCCAGAATTAAGAGTGAGAACGTTTCTGGTTCTCTGGTATTTACGCGAACGTCAACTGCGTCAAGCTAGAAATGAAACCGAAAGCAATAAATTTTTGGTCGTTTAATAGTATTATGTTTATTTCTGTGTAGAGTATATTAATGATGAAATAATTACAAAAACATTTTTTTCCTCTTTCTCTTTATTTTATCTTTCTTGTTTTTGATTTTCTCTCTCCTCTCTCCTTCTCTTTCTCTCTCTTTTTTTCTCTCTCTCTCTCTCTTTCCCTCTCTCTCTCTATCTATCTATCTATCTATCTTTATTTTATTTCTTTCCATCTTTCACAATCATTCACCTGATCACACCACACAAATATGCCGACCAATTATTTTCCTTTAGTCTCCAGGTCAAGTCATTATGAAAACATACGTACGTCAGTCGTAATACGCCTTTAGAGAGAGAAAGAGAGAGAGAGAGAGAGAGAGAGAGAAATTGTTGTTATTCTTCAATGTTTGTTTGTTTTCTGAATGTTTTTCACAAATTTCATTTCTCCCTTTCAATTAAATTTTTAATCCGGCCCACTGATTGAAAACATCGATGCCCTGCCGCGTTTGGTTCTTTTTTTAAGCATTTTTGTCAAAATTTTATTTATTTATTTTATTTATTTATATTTTTATTAAAATAAACGATTGTTAAATTATTTTACTTAATTAATAATAAACTACATTTAACTATTTACAAATTTCTTTAAAAAATTATGAATGTAACGTTTAGTTCATTAAAAAAAATGTTTCATAAATATCTCCTAATTAGTGATAAAACTTTTCTAAACATTTTTTTTTCATAACTCCAAGAGACCGGAAAAGCAGCCCAAAAGCTTCCATCACACCACAATGACCTCCTCGAATATATCCCTCTCTTCGATCAGACTCCGCTTGGTGCAGAGAGTATGGACAACATACACCCTCTGACTCGTATGTTTCACCTCATAACCCCTACCAGGATATATACAGCAGAATATATTGAAACGCTTCAAGCATCGAGCGCAACTTGGTCCGTAGTCAATCTCTCTATTCCATTCCGGCAGTGTTTTCCAGCAGAGGTGATAGGGCCAGTCGCAGAACATGTTCGTTAGTCTCAGTCGGAAGCAACAGCCGAGACAGCCGTTGCAGATCGGCCGATTCAGATTGCAAGGACATTTGCAAAAGTATGGAACGCAGTGCGGAATGATTCTCAACGTCCGAAAGTGTAACTTCACGTTGTTGATGCTCTTCGGTATCGTTATCGATTCCAAATCTTCTAAAACTATCGGCCTAGCCATCTCTTCGCCGCTTACGATGACTACCGTTAAAAACCCGCTCTTGTTGTCGAATGTGATAAAATTGAAATCATCTTTTGAGACGTAGTAGCTGTTTAACTTTGAACCTTCTACGAGTTTATTTGCGTTTGTGTTTTCAGACGCTGGTGAGGTAACATTTTCATCTTCATTATGGTCACCCTCTTCATAGAACATCCAATCCTCATCATCAATCAGGTCAGTTGTTTCGTTGTCAACTCGTTCGCTGCTGTTGCTCCCGGCAGTGTTCAAACTTTTGTGGTCGGCATAGTGGGGTCCGGCTATGTTAATGATCACCGGTCTTACAACTGCAGTTCGATCGATTGAATTGTCACGCAGGCGAGTTAATTCATCTGTTTTTTCGACCAAACTTGTGCGCTTCCTTAGCTGTATTTGGCTGAATGCAGGCAGTTCGCGTTCATATCTTGTTTCCATCGTCCTTTTTATGACGTGACCGAGCTGACGGCACAGGCCTCTGATGGCCGATGCAAACATTTTCACGATTTTCAGAGAAGCGTTCGACATTTGGAAGTAGTAAAAAAAAAATTCATCCAGACCAGTTTCTTCCAGATTAATTTTGCTTTTTATTAATCCACAAATTGTGCCACCGAAAGCTCCGAACGCAACGACGGAGACCATTGTTTCAGTTAAATTTCTAAAAACGGCGATGCACAAAGTTATGCTGGGATAGAGTCGGCCGAGGAATGCTTCGGCCACTATCTTCTTTTTTAAATCATTAATGACGCCGATGAGCGTGATCATGAGAGTGGAGCAAATCGCGTCGACGAGGATGAGTGGCAATCGGTACTTGTTGTCGAGCACGTCGTACAAGTCGACCGTCACCAGCGACATTCCCGTTCCGCACAGGAGGTCGAACAAGAGGCTTATGAAGAGGAATGGGATGAAGGTGGGCGGATTCAAAAAGAAGCAATTGCATTCCGGATACACGCAGCACATTATTTTCTCTTCGTAAGGGTAGTCCGCTGTAGAGGACAGCAAGAAATCGTTAAGGGAGGCGAAAAGGACTGCAGTGCTTTCAAAAATTGATCTCCATGTGAAATTGTACAGTCTCTTCTTTGATGCTTCGGCAAAAAAATAGATCTGAGCGACTACGTTTATGATCATAATAATAAAGAATAAGCTGTGAAACTGTCTGGAACATTTTTTGTCGGTGCAACAAAAAAATTTGGTGAATTTGATGCGCTTCCAACTGCTGTAAATGAATCGTTTGTACAGATACCGTCTTTGCTCGTCAGCTAAAACCTCGTAGGCGTGTCGAAATTTGTGATGCATGACTCGCTTGATTGCGTTTTTGTATGGGCGTCTAGTTAGCTCATTTTTCATGTAGTTGTAAGCGTTCCTCACCTCCTCGTCGGCCCATTTTGTGTTTGAGAAACTTTCTATGAGATTCCTTCCAGATGAATTCTTTGAACTTCTAACCTTCTTCTTAATGTATCGTTCGATATACTTGTTCTTCGAAAGAGCATCTACAAAAATATCACTGCTGGCGTTTTGCAAGTAATTTTTATTGCTGCTGCTGCTGATGTTTTCTTCGATAGTAACTCGATAATTTGATTTTTTATCCGCCTTAAAACAAACGAAAAAAATATAGAATGTATTTACGATGTACCAAATTTTATAAAAATTATTCTTCCAAATCGTTACCTCCTCATCAAAATCTGAGGTGTTTTTCCAATCTCCAGTCTCCTGGTTATTATACTGCAGGTTGAGAAAACTCGGTGCATTCAGCGTTTCCATTGAGAGGTTGGTTATTTTAGAGAAAGATGTCGGCTGCTTGGTGACTACATTAGGACTTAACGACTTTGGCTTGTTCGGCAGCTCGAGAACCTTCGTGTCGAGATGCAGCAGTCTGAGGTGATTGTTGATCATGACGTAATCCAATACACTTTCTCTGATATCCATGGAGATGGCTCCACCTTTGATCAGTACGCTGAACTCCTCGCTAGGGTCTGGGATGATGAAAATTTCGAGCCACTTTTCAACGGTGAACGGATTGTGGTCTTCAAATTCTACCTTGAATAGGACCAAACTAGTTATCAAACCCTGATATTTTGGTTTCAGTGTCACCTTCAATGGTAAGTTGCTATCATTATATTGAGAAAATTCAACAAAAAACTTGGAAATGTGTAAAATTTATTAAAATTATTGCGAAAATTCAACAATAAAAAACGAAAAATTATGTAACATTTAATACGGTTTTATTTTCAATAAAATAAAAAAAAATCCAACTCAACTCTCTTCCTATACGGGATTCCTTCCATTGAGTAGAACGTTAGAGGTAGTAAGTTTTCCGTTTCATTGTGAACCAGCGCCGCTAAGACTTTCTGATCATTGAAAAATAATCACATTTTATTTGGATATTAGTTGGATATATATATATATATATATATATATATATATATATATCCTAATATTTAGATATAATATGATTAATTTGAATAATCAATCGATTTTAAGAAGATTAAATGTTTAAACATTATGATAGGTTACCAAAGGACTTTTCTTAGCAGCCATTTTTCAGTCAATTGGAATGATTCCTAACTTATTAAAAAAAACTTAACTAAACAACTTGTAGTGAATTTTCGTAAACTTTAACATCATTTACTCAGCGAAATTTGTTTACAAATAGCATTTCTCATATAAATATAAACAAGAAGCAAGGAAAAGAGTGTTTGTTGCTACGTTATTAATCTGTACTTTGCAGCAATTCACGAATATGTCTTTAACATCACATACACGGCATAATTTTTTTTAGTTCTCAACCAAGTGATCGTTTTTTGCGTCTAACAGCTTATAAAACATAAAAAAAAACATTTTTTGCGCATTTTGCTTCTTAAATTTTCTGCGAATTCCTCGCCAGTCATACAGCCTACAATACGCAGTGCGACGCAAACGTGCACGCGATTAATTTAGCGAGAGTCTCGTAAAAAGCATTTCTTCCAATGACGCGAAATTTACTTCCGGATCACGTGACTGTCACGCCGACATCTTGCTTATATGGCGTGATCTATTGGGGGCCCGCCAGTTTTGTTATCTTTCTATCTGCTTGTCTGTCTGTCTACTTGTTTGTCTGTCTGTCTGCTTGTCTGTCTACTTCTTTTTCTGCCTGTCACTACATAGTACAAATATTTTGATCACCAAACACTACATGCAAACACACGAACGTACGCACAAACGCACGTACACACACACACACATCCGTAAATATTTGCGTTTGTGTTCATATGTAGACGCCGAACAATCCAAGAAAATATGAAGTACATACATACGTACCTACATGCATGCATCTTGTAAGAGCATTAAGGTGCAGAAGAAATAATGTGTCGTGATTATCGCTTCGGGAATATTGGATGGAATAGATGTGATGATGACGACGACGACGATGATGGCGTCTATGATGACGACGATGATGATGACGAACAAAGGAGAAATAAAAATAAATAAAAGTGTAGAGGAAGGAATGATAAATTTGGAAATACAATTTTTTTTTACTATTTCTATGATTTCGCGATCGTAATTCATCCCAAAAATGAAGTCACCATTCGATTAAATCCTCCCCACGATGAGTGGTGCCACAGCGTCGAAAAAATATCGCAACAGCGAAATCGTCTTCCTCATACCAGCTTATATTTCGCTACACATATTCACGACGCACTCACGCACACATTCCCTTACTTTCTCATACACACGCACGCACACACAAACACACACGACCATCTATCAATCATTCTTGTCGAAATGGAATTTCAATGGATTTGGCGAAACATTCAAGAGAGAATTCTTCAAAAACACGTTATAAAGATTATTATACTCTCGCATGTTTTAATCACTTCAACTTATTAGCAGCTTTCGAAACAAACAAAAATATTATCGAATTATACAAACGCAAACACACACGCACACATACATAAATATATACATACATATACATAAAATGAATGTCAGTTATTCCTACACAGAAAGACAGCATACAAACAGAATGCTGTACAAAAATTAAATTAATTAATATTACGAACATCCTTTAACTAATTACCAAATACAAACTTAAAGCTCTATAAAAGCCAAATTATTTCTTAATTAAAAATTAAAATTCATTAACAAACAAATGAATAAATAAATAAATCAATAAATGAAAATAACATCGTATTTCCAGTGAATTCTATTGAAATACAACCTGGCAGATGCAGGCTATATTTCGAACCCTATCTACATGCATGCTTAATTATACTAATACAAACAAATCTAATACAACAATTTTTAGTAACAGTAACAATCGCTAATATTATTACTACCATTATCAAAATAAAATTATAATTTAATTAATCAATTAATTAAAAAATAATAATTAAATTGAGTGAATTATTTCAGAAAAAAAAAAATTCATTGCCTATTTGTGAATTGCGAGATATAGGACTACATATTCAGATAAAATAACAACACATACATTACTAAGCTAATGTCCATTTAATAAAAAGATCGAATCTATTTTAAAATTAACTCGTTCATTGATAAATATACAACAGCAGTTAATAACAAACGAACGAACAAACAAACAAACAACAATTGAATTAGCAAGGACACAATCTACAATAAAAAAAAACCATCCATCTAGATATCTATCCAACAATCAATCAATCCATTCAACCATTTATTAATTCAATCAATCATTCATTCCTTCATTTATTTATTTATTAACCCAAAGCTTATCTTATCCATCCATCCATCCGTACAACAAACCATACCCACACTCCTTTTAATTGTACACATTTTATAAAATTATTATTCATAATTACTCAAAATTATAAATAATTATACATAAGTATTCATAATAAGTTATAGTATTCTATTTAGTCCTCTTAAGAATTTTTTCAGTAACGTCAATGAGAGATCTTTTAGCGGCGGAATTTTCCAACTTTTCAACGCACTCAATGGCCTGCTGGCAATGCTGCTTGGCCAGAAACTTGGTATACTCAACGCCGTTACTCTGCGGTGAATAGATGAATGAATGAATGAATGAATGAACGAATGAATGAATGAACGAATGAACGAACGAATGAACGAATCACTCAGTTACTTACTTACTCACTCAGCCAATAAGTAATCAATGAACCATAAATAGATAGGTGATTGGGATGAATGAATGAACGAACAAATAAAGAAATAAAATAAAAGAATGAATGAAAGAGTGAATGAAAGAGTGAATGAACCAATCAACAACTTACTAGCATGACGAGTCTTCTAGCCTCTTGCACATCACCATCTCTTGAAAACCTCCTCATGATCATCGAGTTCAGTTCTGGAAACTAAGAGGAGAAAATGTTGGAAATAAAAAAAATAGTAAGAGAAAGAAAGAATGAGAGAGAGAGAGAGAGAGAGAGAGAGAAAGGGAGTAAGCAATACATAAATGTACATTAATATGAACAGACTTGCATAGAAGCGTATAGAACAGGAGCAGTGGCAAGGCCTAGTTGTAAGTCTGCACATACAGGTTTGCCCATGGAGGATTCGTTGGCTACGAAATCTAGGTAGTCGTCTATCAGCTGCAGGACGGTGGTGACGTTTTTTTGGTGACGTTTTGGTGGTGATGTTGTACGATGTTATGTTATGATGGAATGTTCTGATCAGTTCTTATGATTACCGCTACCATCAATCTACCCAATCTTCAAATTTTTTCTGCCACCTCTGTCACCTTCACCGCCAACAGTACCATCGTCATTACCATCATCGCCATCACCCAAACATCATCATCCACATCGTTATCATCATCACCTGGAAAGCAATGCCAACGTTTCTTCCATACTGGTAAGCTATATCCCTCATGTTATCAACGTCTCCATCTGCTAATATGGCAACCTTTCCGGTTGAAAATTTTCAATTAAAAATTATCATTTGTTATCATTTTATTATCATTCAGTCAAGTAATTAATCATTCAAGTAATTAATCAGTCAAGTATCATATCAATTAACCAACCAATCAACCGATCAAGTACCCATCAACCAATCAGCTAATAGATAAGCATCTCAAATAATCAAACCATCTAAACCAACAAAAAAAATAAACATCAATCAATCAATCAACCAACCAACCAACTAGCCAACCAACCATCCAACCAATCAACCAACCCAGCCACGCTACTAACGGCTTTGCAACTATTAGCAATCAGACTGGCAGTCTTCTTGTACGTTTTCTTCATATAGTGATTAAACCTCTCAGTGTCGCTCTCTTTCGATCCCAACTGCATAAATTCACCTTTAACCAGATCTTCGAGAACCTGGGACAGCACCTGGACGACCTCGACATTTCCTATTCGAGCAAGTTTTCGAGAGGCTGTTGAGAGGATGTAGTTTCCTGCCAAAATGGCCTGCGGGGACAGTTTATTTTTTTTTAGCGATTTATTTTATATTTTAAAAAAAATTTTGGTAAATGTTTTGTTAATTTGTTTGTTTGTGGCTTAATTTCTTTGATAATATATAAAAATTAAACTAAACAAACTGAGATATCTATCTGGTATCTAAATTCAATAAATAATACTTTAAACAATGTAATATTTATTACGCGAATAATTACACCAAGACAAACTAAATAACCTTTTTCTGTCCCCACAAGTGATGTGCCGTCTCCTTACCTCGCCGTAAGTTTGAAGCATCTATGACGTCATCGTGGACGAGACTGGCCGTGTGAATCATCTCGACGATTGTGGCCACCTCTCTCTGACTGCTGTTTATACGCCTGTATTAAATTGTATGGGAGGTTTATAAACAGTTTCAACTTACTATTTTAAAATAACAATCATATATAAATACATGAATTACATTTAAACATTATATTTATGTACACACAAGTACATGAATTATGCACTTATATGTACATGAATTATGTAGCTATAAATACATGAATTATGTAACTATATGTGCATGAATTATGTACATGAATTTCATTTAAACATTATATTTATGTACATACAACATATATTATAATTGAATCAAACATTCCTATTAACAATCCTTACCTTATGTTCAGTTGTCTCAAATGTGCAGATGACTACAGCACATATAACAAAACAAACCAACTATAGAAAGCAACATCACTAAAATGGCAACAAATAGCAACATTGAAAAATTAGGCTCAGGAAAAAACTGTTTATATTTAACATGACTAGACATAAAAATAATTTAAATAATTTAAATAATAAATAAATAATGAAAGTAGGAGCGTATCAAACTAACGAATGATCTCTGTTACAAGCTTGAGACATTAGAATGGATATCATCGGTCGGATATACTTACCGGCCCCATCAAAATGATACTGAGATATCTCCTTCAGCTCTAATGTACTTGTTTCTAATTCCTAATCATTTAATGATTTATTAGGTAATTACTATAAGGGGAAAAAATTTTTTTAATTACATTTATTTTTTGAAAATGTTCAAATTATAACTAATTATTTACACAGTTTCTATGTATTGTTTCTCGTTCTTACAAATTATAATTGATGATTCATTATAGAAAAAAACATTTATTAGATTTCATTTGTAAAAAATGTGTAAATGGTAACTTAAATTATAGTCTAGCTATAAATTAGAGAGTTATACTAACTTTTTTAATGTCATTTTCTATAAATTTGAAGTCATCTGAATTGAATTTAATGACATCTTCATTGCTTTGCTGTTGTCTGGCTTGTGGTGAGGTGTCTTCTGATGATGATGCATGGTAGGATCTTCTTTCATGATTATTTACCAGTAGCCATGATTTACCTGTAGCTGGGGTCACTTTCTGTTTTGTTGAGTAAAGTAAATAAGTGACAACTTTGGCAAATTATCTTAATTTGCAACTAATTATTTAATAATCTCATCTTGATTTTATTAAGTTTTTTCAATTTTACACTTCATCTTTAATAAAACTTTGCTTTCAATTATTTGGTCTTCATTCAAAAACATGCAATTCAGACATATTTGCAAACAATTTTATTTATTCTATACTTTACCAGCAACATGTTTGCTAAGTTCAGTTTTAGTTTAGAGGTTTAATAATTTAGTTTAGTTTGTTAATTATTTTATAAAAGTAAAATAGGGAAATAAAATAAGAAAAAATACTTTTGAAAATGAGTTCCAGTTTGAATATAATCTTCTTGCAGGAATTTTATTATTAGAAGCGCATCTTATTTGACCGTTGAGGAAGCAAGTTAGTGAATTAGTAACTGTGATTGATGACCTGTTTCTGTTTGCATTCAGTAGACACACTCTGCACAGGTAAACATTTCTCTGCAAAATCCTGTTCATGCTTCAAAATTTTCTGCTTGACGACGCGTTTTTCAACAATTCCTAATTTCAACTTTCGAAGCAGAAGTTGAGCCGGATTTGGAAGACATTAAAATTTAAAATTGATCCGACGGGCAGGTCACGCCTTTGAAAATCATTGCAGCAACACCACCTCGGCCATAATTATTTAGGCTACTTTACTTTTTTAGGGATGGCAAGATTAAAAATAATAATGCTCCATGACGTTAGAAGACCATAGACCTAGAGGCTGGCATTATTATAGGATGAAATAATTACACATAATTATGTGTTATTAATGTCCCAAGTAAATGTTTGTGTGTATGTTTGTAATTGTCTATTCTTATTTACATTTAATAGTTAATGGCTTATATACACAGGTCAAGTGTAACCAACATATTGCTGAGTTTTTAAACTACAAAAGAATTAACGATGATAAAACTAATATTTTTTACAATAGTAATCATCCTGGTTTCATGCTCATCACAAGATTTTATCCACAGAGTAAGTCTCTCTTGTCAAAGTATTTTAAAATGATCGAAATAATCTTATTTAACCATAAAGTCAATATCTTATAAAACCAGTATTATTATACTCACTATTGTTAATCATTAAATTCAGACGGCCATTCATTCGAAATTTCAAACCACATCCCAAACAGTTGGACTACTACTACATATTAAATGCTTATGACAATTGTTCACTGTACGTTCTTGATCTCAGAGAAAACAACCCAGTCCTTTGCCAAAGTGACGGAATAGACCACCTAACTGGGGTATGGTTTGTCGACGATTCTCTGATAAGGAATAAAGTAAATACTTCCTACGTTTTGGCCTACAATCCAGGTAGGCAGTTAGTCAAAAATTTTTGAAATTTGAAAAAATATTTTTTAGTATTTCGATCTATTTAGCTCTAGCTCTAGCTCTGCCAATTTTATCGGTATTTTGATCTTATCATTATTGCTTGTCACATCGTTATTTTTTTATTTTAAATCAATCTTACAAATATAATCTACAAAGTGAATTTAATTTTCAATTGACGCTTAAACAGCAAATGAGCAGGTAGTAGTGCAAGTCTTAGACGTATATGGAAAAACGAACGAACAAAGGTTGGATCTGTCAAATCGCTTTATAAGACTGAAGATCGACATGAAAAAAGCTTTCACACTAAATGGTAACATTATATAATAATTATTATTACAAAATTGAGAAAAAGTAAATAATAAGTAATTAATATTTAATTATGTTAATAAATACTAAACACGCGGATCTTTATAATAGCGTTATATTAAAATAATATAATTATCATAATATGTTTGTCAATAGAAGCTGATGTTATGTTATTTATAGAAAATTGTATAATTATCGATACTATATCCTAATTAAATAAACTAATATACTGCAAACAACTTTTAAAATATTATTTATATGTATCTAAATATGCATATGTGCGTGTATGTATTCGTGTGTGTGTATGTGTGGAGTGTGTGTGTGTGTGTGTGTGTGTGTGGAGTGTGTGTGTGTTTGTGTGCGTGTGGTGTGTGTGTGTGTGAACGAGTAAAAATGTATAGTACAGCCTTAATACGATTGAGTACATCATCATGCTTCCGAGTTGATGTTGAGATAGTTGGTACTGGATGGTTGGTGGTTGTCGTAGTTGGTTGATTGGTGGTTAATTTGTTGTTTCTGTCTGGCTTCGACGGCTCGAGATGACTGGGTTCTATCATCCTACGCTACTATGTTTATTATTAATTAACGATGGTTAATAGTGCGATGTTGGATGTGTAAGTATGGGCGTGTGTTTATGTGTTCAGTGCCTAAATAGTATGCGGTGTAGTGGTTTGTTGATTGTGTATGCTTGTAGGATGTCGTTGTGGTTTTGGATGCATCCATGTAGGATTAGAGTGGTGATGATTTCTTCGTAGAATGAGTTAAGTTGTCTGTTGTATGGTCGAACGATTATGAATTTGTTGTTGTTGTTTTTGTTTCCGGTTTGGAGAATGTTTTCGTTGTAGTTGTTCTGGTTGTTGTTGTTGGCGTCTTGGTTGTTTGTCACCTCTTTTGTAATGCTATTATCAGATTCTGTTGTGCTATTGTTATTGTAAGTGTTGGTATTGTTGGTATTGTTGTTGTTGTGGTTATCTGATTCTGCGGTGTCGTTATTGTTATAGGTGTTGCC